GCCGCGGGGCTGGAGCAGCCCACGGTGAGCAGGGGGGCTGATCCAGCCCCTGTTGGTTAACTGTAACCAGTAAGTATCACCCGATAAGGGTGACGCTTACTGGTTAACCGGTTAAGCATTTACATCCCCACTTCTGACCATATTAGTCTCTGAGGTGTGTTATGATATTTTATGAATGATAAGTATGCCTCTCTTGAACAGGCCTATGAGGTCAATAGGTTGAGTCTTAAAAAAAAAAAAAAAAAAAAAAAAAAACTTTTACAGACTTACAAAAGGATCAGTGCAGAGGGTGGTCAGTTTGGGTACGTCTAAACTACATGCCTCCGTCAACGGAAGCATGTAGATTAGTTTATACAAAAAAGGGCAATGAAGCGGCGATTTAAATAATTGCACCCTTTGTGTTGAATCTGCATTGGTTCACCTTTCTGTTGTCTCTATGCACTACGAGCCAGATTGTTGGGAAGAACAAAGATCATTTGACTGCACATAAGCCTTACTGAGGTGCATTACTAAGTCGTTTGGAGCGAACGGCAATGTACGGTGGGTCCTCCCAGTGTTGGGGAGACCGTGCTGGTGCTCCAGCCCCCTCCCCTCCACTATTCCACTGCAGGGCTGGAGCACACAGAATCTCCTAGGCTGGGCACCACTAGGCTCTGGTGTGGGAGGGGAATGTGGGGCGCGTCTTTCTCCTCAGTTGGGGCACCTCAGTGAAGGTTTTGTTTTGTTCATTTGTGCTTCTCACTTGTGTGTGGCCCCTGAGGAACTGCTGGTATGCCAGCACGCTGATGCCAGCCAGAGGGAAGCTGACATGGACCCCCCCACGTGGGACACTGCCAAGAGGGAGGTATGCAGAGCACACCGCTAGAGAACCAGGTAGGAACTAGCTCAGGGGAACTTTGTGGAGAGCAGCAGCTTTGTTAAAACAGCTCAATATGTTTCAGTGGGATCCGCACTGAACTGGTGGTGGGCAGCCCTGTCACCCAGGTTGGGATTTGGTGGAGAGGGTGGGGCTGGGTTCCTGTTCCCTACCACCACTGCCTCCCACAGTGCTGAGTCTGTACCTTGGCTCTGGCTGGTAGGCCACACTGCCCTGTGGAAAGAGGGTGTTGTTAATGACTTTGTCTACTAGGCCACACTGTCCTGCAGGAAGGAGGAGGACATTAGATTGCAAGGCCTTGGAAGAAGAGGGTTTTGCGGTTGAGTTTGGCTGCCCAGCTAGGTTGTCTCTAGATAGTAGAAACTGTGGGTGAAGATGCAGACTAGCAAGTCAATTAGGGTTGAGCCCCACCTGTGGGGCCTTAAAGCATGGGGCCCACCCCTAGAGAGGGTTGGGTGTGCCAACCCCATTTCCCTGCCCCCACATACATACAGGCAGACCTGCCTCCCACTACGTGAATCACAATAATTAAAAACCAAAAAATCAATCACAGCCTTAAAAAAGACATTTTTATGATTTACAATAATATATGGAGATATACCATCTCCTAGAACTGGAAGGGACCTTGAGAGGTCATTGAGTCCAGTCCCCTGCCCTCACAGCAGGACCAAGTACCATCCCTGACAGATTTGCCCCAGATCCCTAAATGGCCCCCCTCAAGGATTGAACTCACAATTCTGGGTTTAGCAGGCCAATGCTCAAACCACTGAGCCATCCCCCCAAGAAAACAAGAAACCATTTATAAAGGGCTGGACTTTATGTCTCTTGTCTCCTCATCTGCCCCGATACAATGTCACTCTGTCTTGCCAATAGAGACAAATTGAAATGGCTACAAGCCATGCCAGGAAGCCACCGAGGTTTGATATGATACAGGAAATAGCTTCTGAGGCAAAAGGGGGAACCTTTGCTTAACCTAGACATTTCCACTGCTGGTTTACAGCTGTTTGAATGACCCAGTGGCCAGCACAGTGTTAAACGAAGAGGTGAGCATGGGTTTATCATACTGTTGGGGAGTTCACCGCCACCTCCCTAACTTTATTCCAGACAGCTTTGGTCTGTCTGTAGCACTAAAGATCATTCTTAATGACTGTCATTAGAAATCCCTTTGGAGTTGCCCGAGGCCATTTACAACAGCATAGTACAGAGAACGGTGTGTGTGAACCAGCTGGGCTCAGTTTGTAGACTTGGTTTGCATCAAGAAGTTTTCAAAGAGCTCCCCATTAATTACAGGAAACCCACAGTACTGTCCTGTTTTCCCATTAACACAGTTTCTTTCGGGTTTCACTAAATTATTTCAACATCTGGGCTACAGATAAACCAACAATTTAATTAGACTTCTGAAAATAGGAAGAGTGAGCTATGCAGGCAAGCATACACTTTCATCTTGGAACTGATCATAAAATATTTGTGTGCTTTTATTCTCCACTGCATTAAAAATAATCTGCCCTTAGCTCAGCTCTTTGATACTTTCCTGTATATAAACAGAGACTCCTGAATATCTGATACAAAGAGATTAGCTTTATAGAAACCACTGTATGCGTGGAGCCCTTGTTTTCATTATTCAGCCAGGATGAAGGCATTCAGTTAGGATCAAACCACTTTTGTACTTTCCTGGCCTTTCATTAATTAATTAAATAGCCAATCCTTGCAAAGTGTGGCACCAACAGTAAATACTTATTATACCCATTTTGCAAATGGAGAAACTGAGGCATGTCAGGGTTAAGAAACTCTCGAGGTGCAAGAAGGTCTCAGTGGAAGGCTCTGCCCTGTGGATTCCCTATTGTTGGTGGCTGGGGTTACCCTCACATCTAAACTAGAAAAAGATGGTCATGAGTATGAAAAATTCACATAAAGTGCTTAGTTTTGTTACATTCAAGTCATAACGCAAGACCTCTCTCTTGATGCAAGCTTTCCCAGAGGAACAAAGATGATGGGCAAATGACCTAGCTACAATTCTAATAAAAGGAAATTGCCAGGAATTATTTCATTCAGAACAGCGGTACAGAACAATGGGAAGAGGGAAAAACAGTTCAGTGAAAGGATGGACCCAGTGATACTCTTAATTACTTACTTTTCCCCATTTTCTCTGAAGGCTCTAATCAGTGCACTAGCTGCTTTTCATGATGTATATAAAACCACACTAAAATCATGGCATCTTGGCCAACACACCTGGGACTCAACCAAGGTGCTCCTGAGTTAAATGAATGTCCTCTGTGGATTGGCACAGATGGATATCTGCAACACACATTTACTAGTGGATAATATATATGAAAATCTACCTCAGCTGCTGCTTAGCTATCCATTGTGAATTTGGCAGAGTGAGTGCATTAGATGAAAATTGCTAGCTAGCAAGCAATGAATGTCAGAGCTGGGAATAGAACCTGAGAATCTGATTTCTAATGCACTGCCCTAACCACAAAGGATGGCACTACTTCCCTCATTATTACAATGGTGCGGGTTTGATTAATATAGCTCCAAAGAACTCAGCTAGCACAGTGATAAGAAAACAATAGAAAAAACAGGGCCTGATTAGCCCATCGATTATGCACACTGGCAAGGGCTACTGAAGTCAGTAAGAGTTGCACATGCACAAACTGTTCATCTAATTGGATGCTTGTGTAAAATAGATAGAACAATAGACAGAAGAGGCAGAGAAAAGACTCAGTTACCTGCGTCAGATGTTGCTGCTGATGAAGGTAGGAGCGATAACACTGGCGTTGGTGGCACGGCAACATTTTCAAGAGCTGCTGGTTTCCTTCTAGTCATCATGTTACAAGCAGAACTTTCTATTCTACTATGAAGTGAAGTCTGGTCTGCTTTTAAGTGGGGACTTGTTATTCCTGGGGATTGTAAAGACAAAATAATGTGTGGGTGAATAAATATGAAGTATACAGGAGTGCTGTGCTGGATATCCATTAGAGAAAATGAACTACTGCTGCCTTAGGGTATGTTTAGACTATGGGACAAGGTTGAATTAAGATACGCAACTTCAGCTATGTTAATTGTGTAGCTGAAGTCGAAGTAGCTTAACTTAACTTTTGATGCTGTCCACACTGCAGTAAGTTGAAGGAAGAACACTCTTCGTTTGACTTCCCTTACTTCTTGTGGAAGCAGGACTACTGGCATCGATTGGAGTGCTGCTCTCAGTTCAAATTAGCTGTCTTAATTAGACCTGCTAATTCGAACCCTAGAAGAATGACAGCGGCAGCTTCGATCTTCCTCTGTAGTGTAGACGTACCCTAAGCGATACCAATATATTTCCATACCCCCCTATACAAAAGTGTGTAATATGGTTTTGCAATTAGCAAAGATCATGATTTGTATTTGTATTTAATAATTTGCCTTAGAATGCACCATCACAACTCTCTATAAACAATGCTAAGCTAAAATAATGAGGCAAGGGTCCTACAGAAAAAAACAATATGTGATCATGTAATCACATACCACATCATAAAGCATACACACAAGGGAGTTGAATTAAAGTTGCATAGACAATCTTCATTCTGGCACTTCCTAACATTTGAGCGCATGGATTTGCAAACTTAATAATGTTTGTTTAATGTAGGTTTTGTATGTTTAATATATATGCATAGAGCGTGAAAGTGAGTCTATTTATAATGCATACAGTTATGTGTGTGTACATATAATGCAAACAACCTCATGAAGGCAACATCTGGTTATAATTAAACTGAAGGGCCTATATAAAAAACTGTATGAAAACATGCAGCTATAACCTGTTGACCTCTATTGATAAAAAAAAAAGTCTCTGTGAAACTGTGCTTCAACATATCAAGGGACAGTCATTCATTTTTCAAAAGTAATCCCTCACAAACCACTTATCCTCTCAAATCTCTACCTGCACACGGTGTTTGCATTAGGGACCTTGATTTATGGATTCCCGCTCCTTGAACGTAGAGGCCTACTTCCTGTTGCCGTGGTTACTTGGATCTTGGTTCAAGGTTAAACTACTCCCAAATCAAAATCAGTGGCAAGCACAGCATCTAACAGCCAGGTTATTGACTACCCTAGGATGCTTAAAGGTCAAAGACCAAAGTGCTGCTTACTGCCTTCAGGGTGAGTCAATATTTTCAATATTTTTATTCTGTTTCTTCTGAAGAAGAAGTTGCTGCTCAATTACCACCTAGGCAGGTTTAGCAAGGTCATACAAATCATTGAGGAAAATCCTCCTTCTAGGGAAGCATTATACATGTAATGAATTACTTCAAAGGCTACCTCCCTCCAGTTTTAGCTTGTGACTTTACAGAAGGGCGTCATTGATGGTTTTGTTCTGTAAGGTTTTAAACGTTTTGTGTAGTCTAATTTACCTCATGATGTTAAAAACTGAATCATTACAGTGACCTCATTTGCTGATTGGGTATTACACTGAGATTGGAATGAAAATCACCAGAGTTCACCTACAAAACTGAAAGTTCTTCACAAAAGTGGATTTGGCATTGCCACCTCTATTTTTACACATAGGTAAACTGAGGCACGGAATAATGATTTGCTCAAGGCAACACAGTGAGTCAATGGCAGGGTTTGGAGTAGAACCGAGTCTTCGGTCTGCTAGGCTGTTGGAGCAAGCTTCCCTACTATCACTCTCTCTTCTTGAGGCTGTTTAGAAAGGAACGCCACATACATTTCATATACCTTAGAAACTAGTGAAAATTTCTTCCTGACTTAATAGCCACCATTTGTCAAGGAGAACCCATCATTTAAAATATGCATTCTCTGTGATATCCTACAATATTTTGCACTTTGCTTCTTTTTACATCCAGGAACAGACAGAGCTTAAGTTAACTTATAAACCCAACTCCCAATTCTGATTTTATTTCCACTGTCATTACTCTATAGATGTTAATAGATTTGTTCCTGATCAGAATAGTGGTGAGATCAGATTCCATCCTCCAGTTCCCAGACCACTGCTGACATCAGGTACAAGTAAGCAAACCAGGGCAAAGCAGAAGGGAAATTAATCAATGGAAAACCCAGGACAAATCAAGAAGAGAAAAATGGTTGTTTTCAGTCTCTAAAGGGGGTATTATGAACAGTCATAAGGGCTTATTCATCTCTCATTTTTACCAGTGTACATAAGGAAATAGTCCTATTGAAGTCAAGGTAATACTGGTATAAAACCTATACGTGAGAAGACAATTAAGATGTAAAACTGGTCCTTTAAAAAAAAAGTTCTTTACTGTTAAAAGTGTCTCTCAATATTTTGGCAGGAATGTGACTTTGTCATTCATTGTCTAACAGCTAATGTGCTTTGACTGGTACTTAATACATTACTTTAAAATGACTAATTATTACTATTGTCATTTATCATTCACACTGCAATAGAGACAAAAGGCCATAGCTAAGTTGGGCCCTGTTGTGGTAGGTGGTGTACTAACATATGCTACCTGACTTATTGCCTAACTTATTGCTACCTTGTTCCTTCTCCATACATTGCAGCACCTACTTCCTCTCCTCTTTATATTTACATTGCAAACCCTTTAGCTCTGCATCCATTTTTTTGTCATATCGGTATATAGCTCCTGCTTGGAGCCTCTAGGTGCTAGCTCAGTGCAAATCCGTAAACAGCAACTGTGCCATTCATAAAACTATGCTGGAGGACATCCGCTAACATAGCAGAGTTTTGTGAAGTTGCTGCTGTGGAATAGTTTTCACCAGAGAGATCATTCCATTAGATTTCACATAATCCACCCAATTGTGAGAATTTATAGCAGAACTTCATCTGTTCATCTTCTCTTACGGGAAGAAAGATTTCTTCTTTCTTTCCATGGTTTAGTTATACAATACATTTGCATGGTAATTCACATCTCACCATTAACTAGGTCAAATCATTTGCATTTTGATTACTGTTTATTTTGAATAAAGAACCAGAAGAGCCCTAATATCTGGTAAATCTTTTTTTTTAAAGTGGGTTTTAAGTAGATCAATCGAAAGCTTAGCATTGCATCATGGTCTAGAAGAGGGAACTGAATTACTGTGTGATAAATGTAGTTAAGAGAAGTAATTATTCTTCTTAAAGTAATATTATTACCTATCTAACTTGTGGAATTCATTTCCATGGCTTCCATTTGACACGTATTAACTTTTAAAAATAACTGTACTTTTAATATACAGTTCTGCTGCCTGGCTTTTATTTCCCTGTTTCTTCTATTCTGAGAGCCTTCAAAATCAGTCTTCTATTATATACAAATAGCATAGAGTTCCTGTTTAAAAAAAAAGCCTATAGAAGAGGTGGAATTTTAAGACACCAAGATTGTCCTTTGCTTCATCGCCCCAATTTTCTTCCATTTTTCTAAAAAGCAGAATAGCTCTAAACATGGGAGAGAAAGAGAGAGAAAGCCATCATTAGATAGATCTCCTGATCTTTATCTGAAGCAGTACACTCAGAAGAGCTAATGCCATGATGATAGCTTTGAAATCTCTTAGGAATTGGATAAAGAGAAGTGATAGTGATGAACTCCCAGCTAATAAACACAGAGTGCTTATTTCTGCAGAATGATCAATTTCTAGATGTCCTGAGGCTTGTCTGATACAGTTGATTTACTCATCCTCCCTCACCTCACTAATAAAGCTGAAGTCCAACATCAGATTAGAAAAGCCAGATTTCTTAAGTGGGAGGAGGTGGACTGGCATGATGGCATGCATATACTGAGAGACACCCTAATCTCCCCTGCCTCCTTCTATAAACACTAAGCTGTCTTGAGCAGCTGCCTTCCTCTGCTGAAAACATACACTTCATCCTCTTTGGGTTAGTACAGTAATACAGACAATTAATTTGTTATCTTGTTAGTGGAAATTTAATGCAATGATCCAAAAGAACTCTTACGTACTGTGATAAACTTTAGTGCCTCCAGGGTGCGTCTTTTCCATAGGAATCCCATCCATTATGTAAATGAGATGTGGAAATAGTTGAGATCCTCTAATGTATCTGCACACTGATGGATTGCACAGAGTCAGCCCTGCTGAAACTAATGAGGTTAAATGCATCTTGCCATTCCTGTCTACTTGGGTGAGTCTCTGTGCCTAAGTTCAAGAAATGTTGTTCAAGGGCTTTTCCCACCCCCCTCCCTTAAAGCCACGAGGCTAAGATAATCACATTTCTTGACAGACAGTACAGTAACATGATAAAAGCCTGAACACCCACTCTGGGCTAAGTCCTCAAGGGACTGTGAGGAGCATGGGCATTTGTGATGTAACAAGGAGAGGACATGGCAGTAGAGAGCAAAGGTCACCCTCTTGGGATATATGGTTCCAGGCTGCAGAAAGCTGCAGATGACACGGGTCCCTAGGGAGACGCAAAGATTAAATAAAAAAACAATGTAGCAATGTACAAACTGTCCAGACAAAAACATTCCCTGACTGAGAACATGCAAAAACCATCAGTTTGGTCATCACTGCAAACTGTCCAGGATCCTTCACACCTAATTTCTATGGCTTGAACTAAAGACCCAGATTCCCTAATTGGAGCTGTAACAGCCTCGGTGGATCAGGCACATACAGGGGGGCAAAGAACACTAAACACCGGGGCTCCGTCTACACAACGAGTTTTCTTGGCAAGAAATATGCAAATGAGGGACTCGTTTGCATGAGTCGCAATCTCACGTGCATCTTTTCTGCCAATCCATTTTTGCCTAGGGGTTTTTGTGCAAAAACAAGCAGTGTGGATGTTTTCTTTTTGCGTAAAACCCCTTTTTTCCGCAATATCCTCATGCCCCAAAAAAGGAGGCTTGCCGATTTTGCGGAAAAAGGGGCTTTTGCGCCAAAAAATAACAACAACAACAAAAAACAGTTCACACTGCTTGTTTTTGAGCAAAAACCCCTAGGCAAAAACGGATCGGTAGAAAGTATGCAAATGAGAATGCGACTCATGCAAATGAGTCCCTCAGCATATTTTTTGCAGAGAAAACTCGTAGTGTAGACATAGCCTGGATTATTTTTTGATGCCCTAATTCTGCAGGAACCCACAGAGGGACATATTCAGTACTAGGAGGAGGGAGAACAGATCCTATGCTCTCCATCCTCTCCCCTAATATATGTACACTCCTGCCATGAAAATGCAAGAGATATCTCTTTGATCTGAATCAAGGGTGGAATTTCAGGAGGGTATGGGGGGGCAGCAGTCTTGTGCAATGGGACACAGCTTGCTTCTTCTCCCATTTCTTGGGCTATCAGGGAGCAAGGGGAAAGTACTTCCATGCCATGATTTACTCCTCTGCCCCCTCCCTTCACCAGGTGTGAGAAGTTTGCACAGCATGCAAGTGCTTTCCCCTCACTCCCTGATAGTCCAGGGAACAGGATTAAAAGCAAGCCACTTCCTGCTATGCACGGCTACTGTCCCCACCCTCCCGAAACTCTGCCCTTGGGCGATGGAAAAATGATTTTAGACTATTTATTTAAGCCCTGGCTAAGATGATTTAGTTGGAGTTGGTCTCGCTTTTCTGCAGAGGGTTAAACTAGATGACCTTCTGAGGTCTCTTTCAACCCTAATCTTCTATGAGTCTATGATTCTACTACCCATCACTGTAGTATTTGAGCAACTCTGTTCCTAGAGCAAAAGAAAAGTCTGACTATGAAATTCTGGACTCCTAAGTTTTGGGAGGTCATGAAGAAATCATTGAACTAGTTAAGCCAAGATATGTCTAAGACATGAATGTGGATTTTAACTAAAGTGGGATCAAAGTAAGGGCAGATTTTGGTAAAATTCAAAGGATAGTGACAGGTGGGATTAATGATAAGAGAAATATGGGAAGAAAAGGCAAATTCAGAGGAAGGATCACTCCAAGATTCAGAGCCTCGTGAACTAAGATTTGAGGGTGTTAATGGATTCAGAGACAGGACTAAAGAGGCTTTTGACCAGGACTTTAAAGCAATCAGTTTAATAGAATCTGTAATTAGATGCTGATGGAGTCCAGACTGATGGCCAATATGGAGACACAGTGAGTCAAGGGAACTGCAGAACTGGCCTTACATATACAAAAGTAGGTCAAAACCTGAAATTTGCAATGAAATATCCGAGAGAGTGAAGCTTTAATATGTAGAAAGGAAAAGCTAGGCATATAAGTGAAGAGCTCCATAGTAGAAGAGACAAGAGGCAAAGAAAATCTTTGGAAGAAACGAAAAAAAAATTACAATAGTTTAGATGTAAAGGATAATTCAACCCAGAAGTGCATGCTGAAGATTCTTTTTTAAGGATTTTAGAAGGTTAGTGATAAAAAGTCACTATGATGGGTGAAAAAAGGGACCTGTGGCTATGGACAAAGTAAAATAGTCTAGAAGTAGAAAAAGGGTATGCTGGTAGAGGTAGTCAAAGGAAGAGAACCTCTTTCTTCAGAGCACTTCTAAGGAAAGGCAAGATGAAGGTGAAATCTTAGTTCTCAGGTAATGAGGAAGGGTCAAGTCCGGTATTTTCATTCCTTATTTTTTCCAGATGGAGTGATCGGTTCTAAGTGTAGTAGAGAAAACAGGAATACATGAGGCAACAGTGCAGATTGGAAAGGAACCATATTTATTACAGATTAAGTAGGACACAGACAACTCCCATTGCTGAGCTGGAGATAAGTGAAGAAGGCTGTGTCAGGCTGCTGGTGTTATAAGCAGGGCTCGACGGAAGCATGGGCGAGCCGGGCAGCTGCCCAGGGCGCCAACCGATGAGGGGTGCCTGATGGCAGCTGTAAGGGACGCGCGGCATCCCTGACAACTGCCATCAGGAGCAACGCGCCCGGCTCCCACAGCGCCAGTTCTGAGGCGCCAGCCAGCAGCGCCCTTCCCGCTGCAGTTACGGGGCCCTGCACAGCCCGGCGTTCACGCCAGCAGCGCTGGCCGGGCCGGGCTGGGCAGCGCATGTGCCGTGCACCCTGGGGGTGGGCCCCAGCCAGCGGCCGTGACCAGCCCACGCATGCGCCGAGCGCCGGCCGGGCAGGCCTGTGCTCCCTGGGGCGGGGGGCGGGCCTGCACATGCGTCCTGCGCCTGGGGGCGGTGCCGTATGCCCAAGCCCAGGGTGCCAAAAGGGCTCGGGCCCATCCTGGTTATGAGAGTGAATGACGCTCAAGTGATGGTTTTGAGGCTATGATGGCATCAAATCACACATATTTTCAGATACATCCAGTGTAGAAAAAGAGAGGTTACTATTGGGAAACATAAAGATCCCACAGTTCAGAGAAGACAGCAAAATTCATTGGCCATCTCTTCAGTGAATCATGAGAGGTGGTGTCTCCTTGTATTCCAACCTTCCCTGTCTGCAAAACAAAACCCAACCTGCCAAAATACCCTGGTATTGTTAACCCTCGCATCTGGCTGATGAAAATCCATAAATATGTATATATGTCAGATTGACTTAGCTATTGTTCTTTTATAATTATTGATATTTATTATTTGCATTAATGTAGCTTCTGGAGGTTCTGAACCAAATTGTGGCCCACTGAGCTAGGTAATATACAAACACAGAGTGCAAGGCAATCTTTGTCACCAGAAACTGAACATTTAAGTAGGAAAGAAGGAGTAGGGAGCAGCTGAGACTACAATCCATGTAAACTGAATCTCAGCCCAATACAGTGATCTCTGAATCACCCTGCTGCCTTCCTACGGTGTTATTTTGCTTTACTAAACCAAGTCCCACAACACAGTTTGTTCAAAGAGCTATACTCTAACTCTTCAGTAAATAAAATGGCTAAAAAAAATCGCTGCAATTGAAGGAACTCCCAGTGTACAGTGCAATCTATTAGACTGCAGCCAAGGAGTTTTTATTTTTAGAAAGGCTCATGTTGGCTTTGTTTTAATAACTGAGTCTATTCAGCTCAGTTTAATGCTGATTTATCACTAACAAAATGCCTTATCAGCCTCAGAGACAAAAAATAATATGCGCTGGGATATGTGTGTGTGGGGGGGAGGAGAGATGTTTTTCTCCCATATTCTAGATAGCAGATATGATTTTTAACCTTTTCTTCTGAAAAATCACAATAACTGATATTAAAATGAAAGTGTTTTAAAATAGATGCATAGGTAAGATGAGCAATGCTATTACAGATGAAAAAAAGTGGCAAAGTTTTAATAACTAGTCAGCACTTAAATATAACAGAGTGCTTGAATTACTGTTCTCGTCTATTTGTGCTCTAGAGACATCTGAAACATTGGGCAGTATGGAATTACTGTACACATTTGATTTGTATTTCAATCATTTATTCACTTTTGGAAACCGCAGTGCAAAACCATTGGTCTTGGTGAACTCCCGAGGGAAAATATTGCAGGAAGTACTTTATTCAGAGTGGTTTTCATTCAAATTGATGCTGTAGATTCTGGTTAACCTGAACAGTAGAAATGTAAGAGGAAGACCAGAGAAACTAAAGGACTTCAATATCAGGAAAGTCTTCAGTAGAATGGAAACACAAGAAGAAATCTGAATGATAAAGAACAGGATAAAGAGAGAAATGATGTAGAGAGGAATGAAGTGGGGGAAGATAGTTAAGTATAGGCAATAAATGAGGTATAGACAATAAATTATAGATTGGGAAGAGAAGGCTGAATAAGTGAAATCATCTGGTGAAGGGTGGAACAAAAACACTGAAATCAATGCTAACCATTACCAACATTTGAAGCAATGTTTCCACCTTAAACAATCCTTCACATCTAAATCTGTGCCTTGCTAACATTTTGGGGTACTATGATCCTGAAGTTTGGGGCAGGCCCTTATCTCGCTTTCATATTTACTGAAGTTCTATGGAGATGCTTTAGGGCCTTCACACAACACTTTATCAGTTGTGATATGCATATTTTATTGCATACAAGCAGTCAGAATAGGGAAACTCTGGGTATGTCTACACTACCCTCCTAATTCGAACTAGGAGGGTAATGTAGGCATACCACACTTGCAAATGAAGCCCGGGATTTGAATTTCCCGGGCTTCATTTGCATGAAGCCGGCCGGCGCTGTTTGCATAAG